TAGTCCCCAAAGCAACCCCTTGTTTGGGATGGGGATACATAGTGGCTGCAAATGAGGAAGCCTAAAATAGCAAAAAAGCCAAACGCGTTACGTGTTGGCGTTGCACTCTGCACAAAGTTGCAGCAGCTACAGCAGCAGCAGCAGCGGCAGCAGCCACAGCGACATAGTGTGGCAGTGGCAGAGGCAACACAGCAATCGATTGCAGGGGTCCGGTTACAAGCATTTCGCTGCTCTGCTCACAGTTTTTAGCCGTTTGTTGCGTTGATAAGAACACAGGTCGAAAGCGAAAGGCAAAGCCAAAGGCGCCCTGATGTGTGATGTGTGCAAAGAACTGTGCTAATAAGATGTGAGACACAAAAGAGCAGCAACGGTAGGCATTCAAGAAAACATAGCAACCATCGATTCTGCAGTTTGAAAATCGGAAAATGTTTCTATAGTGTCAGCTCAGTGTCGAGTAAATCTTTAAGTGAAAAATCTCTAACACAAATCGAAGTAAAAAATCGAAACTCAACACAACCAAAGATGCAGCGACCAACACCGAATATCTCCACGAGCATTATGAGCCGCATGTCGGTCTTTGAAAGTGAGTCGAATCAGAAGTCCCTTCACACATTCACACATTCATGCATTAATTCATGGTTCTATTCAAACAATTCGTAAGTTGTCTTCGAATCAGCAAACGCAAAAAGCGTCGGAAAAGAGTGAAATCTGGCATTCTTTTATGGCATTGTAAGGTGTGAGATGATTAAGTGCCTGAAGTGCGGCCAAATCTAGATGGAAAGTGTGGAAAATGTGTGGCTTATGTGAACGACAAATGGACACACGTACGGTTGATAAGGTTGAACTGCTTTAAAGTTTCTGGGATTTGTCTGTCCGTTTGACGATGATGGGTTTTGGGATGCGGAGTTTGACTGCAAAGTTTCGTTGATAAATGTAGAATAGTTTCAGTCGGTACAGGGGTATATCTAATTCTTTTAAATGTTGTACTTATGTAACAGCCAGAAACAAGAGTCGGCTGAAAGCAGTGGGAGTCACATCCTTGCTATCAACTGCTCTCCTCGGTTTCACATGACTCGGAACACAGATGCTCGACATGCACAAGCGAAAAGGGCCCAAAAGAATGACCGAGAATAGCAAAACCAACATACACGGCGTGTGCACGACGTGTCCATCTATCAATCTTCATTGACATCTACATACTTGGATATATCAGAGATCTAGAGTAAATATGTACTTGAAGCACCCTGTACCCTGCCCGCATCCCGCATTCGTCTGCCACTGTCCCTTAACTGTTTTCGATTGAGTTCTAAACAAAGACACATTATATTTCTTGACAGAGACACATGCATAAAGTGTACAATGGAAAGTGAAACCCCCCACCCCGTGTCTTTTGGCGACACACAGACCCAAAGAAAAGTTGCCCCAATGCCCTCGGATGAATATCATGTGGTTGGGCGCTAGTTAACCTCTCACGACAATGGTTCACGTTTAAGTTTTTAACTGTACGACTGTCATGCCTTGTTGAGCCCTTAACCCGGTTATGCGAATGGAGTTTCCACTCGATTCTGTAGTAGAAAACTTTCATTTACCCAGTACTGGGCCGGGCACTTGATCATATTTCAGAGCCTCTTTTTGCCTATCATAAATTGTACACACAATGCAGTCGTCTCTAATGTTGGCTTGATTTATTGTACGAGTATGTGCCATAGTCTGGGGGTCACTTGGTGAAAACAAATTGCATATAATTAGCATGAGTGGAGTGTAGTGGAGTGTGGGCTTTCGTAGGGCTGGGTTCGGGTCCCTTATAGAGCGCCTCTTTCGTTTATTTCATTTGCGTTAATTTCATAGCCAAACTCGGACCCAGACGAGGAAATACACCAACAGCGAGTGCACATGGGCACCTCCACCCCACCTCATTAACCCACATGGAAGCAAGTCGCGCACAATTTTCTAACACGGCCTGGGCTCTGGAGATGGGGATGCCTGTGGATGGGGGGCCCATGTTTGTTGGCTAAACTAAACAGCCAGTCGAACCACTCGATTGCGCAAGTGAAAACTTGTTGGGGCGACGATGGACACCATAAGTGAAGTGAAGCCAGCCCCAGGCAGAGCCCCCGCTGGCGGACTGCCCGCAAGTGATAGAAAAATACACTCCCATTGGGGCATTCTAGGCACTTGCAGAGTTTTTAGAGATCAGTAGTTTGGCGGATATAGCCCTATGTGTACGCGTTTCCGCTTCACTTTTGTTGAGATTGTTTTTTTTGCTTGCTAAGTTTAAGTGGAAAATTTTTATAGATCCTCCATGGATCAGCATTAGATCTAGAAATCCTCTTTCTAAGACAAGTGTTTGTTTTTTATTGGTTCGTATTGCACTAGATACATTTACTAAGTACTAACTACAAACAATTGGTTTAATATTATTTTTGTAGTGTTATAAATGTCCTTACATCTATCTTACATTGAACCTAAGAGAATAGAGTTTTATGATAAAGGACAACCTTTACGGATTTAGTTTAAACTCCACTTTCAGTGGGGTAACCTTTCTGCTTATAAAGATCTCTGAATAAAACTCAAGAGACAAAGATTTTATAGGCTATAAATGTAAAATATAATCAAATTCAAATATCTTTTGGCCATTTTCCAAGGGTATACCAATCTTCAGCCACAATCTCTGTCTTTTTTCTGCGGAAACTAAGCACTCCATTGGGTCAATCCTTAGACAGTAAAGGGCCCAGACAGCCAGCGCTGTAAATGCAAATCCATAATGCAGAGAGTTGCCCGGCGAATGCAAATTTCCATTTGAAAAAAACTAGAAAAATCAATCAATATGGATTTGCATACGATTTCCGATTGGGTCACATGTATCGCTTGAATGGGACATGAAATAATTAGCATAGTGCACATTTCGTTATTAGGGTCTCGCGACAGATGTTAAAGGTTAAAGTTTCGGGTTTTCAGGGTCATTAACCAGCCGCCAAACAAGAGATTTCGTTGTTCAAATGCTGAAAACAATGCGGAATAATGAACGAATGAATGAACTATAATTTGTTGGAATTGCCTGAAATGACTCTGATGAAATTTGATTGATTGATTGTCGAATGTGAACTTTGAGTTGGGATGATGATGGTGATGGAGATGTGGAGATCGCAATTTACCCTTTGGTTAACCCCCTCTTGGTGATCTTGGCGATGCCCGATACCCGATTCGTGTGAACTAGTTTAACAATTGAAATGTCTTTTGATTGGAGGAGGGAAACGCTTGAGATATACGGAATTTGTTCAGTTTATTGTTGTTCCATGAATTGAGTCATTACAGAAGGTTCTTTTGATATTGGAGGAAATTAAGTGGTACACAAAACATGAAACGAAATGTTTCTTGATTGGTTACGATGATATGAAGACATTTCTTCATTTGAGTTCTTAATTTATTCCATATAAAAATCAAGTAAACGGAAGAATTTTTTCGGCCTTAATCTATTATGTACATCGATAGCCAAAAGATAACAAATTAAATAATGAAGTGTCTGGTTTTAGACATTCACGATCCAAAATCCCTTTAATCTCTGATTTTGTATCTCCCTTAATTTATATGTGTTAGATTTAAATTTCTGGCACAATGCCACCTGATCTACTCCACTTGCAACAGCTTGGTTTTGGCACAGCTCTGACGGAGTTGGAGCTGGAGTTCCCTTACAATCTGCAGCATATTGGTTCATCTTTCGCCCCCGAAGCGCTTTCAGCAATGTCATTGCCCTTTCGACGGCTTCTCTTGTCTGCCTCTTTATGCGCTTTGCCTCTCTGTCTTTGTCCCTTATCATCGCCTATTAATCTAGTTTAGGTTTTGGGCTTTGGGCATTGGGCCATGGACTGTTGCCACTGCCACTGTGACTGCCACTGCGACAGCGTCAGCGACTAACTAGTTCGCACTGCCGCCCCAAATGTGGGTTAATATGATGGGTGAACAAAAGAAGTTTGCTTGGGTGATGGCTCAGAAAAGAATTTACAAAAAAACTGAACAGAACCGAAGAAAAGAAAAGAATCAGTGAAAAAAAAAACAAGAACAAGAAAATAACAAAAAAGAAAGAACTTTACCGCTGACTTGAATCGAGTTTCTGTTCGTGGGGTGCCCCGTCCCCTCTACTCACGTGGGTCATGACGTACTATACCCTTTCGGAGGGTACACTCAGGTGGTTTGCACAAAAGGAAGTATTTTTGAGGTAATAAACTGCAATTTATAGAAAAATAAAAGGGATTAAACATACACTATGCTCTTATACAATAGATTCTGGATCAGCTTTTCTATTTCTATTCACTTTTCTTTATAAAAATGATATAGAAATGGAATTTAACAATTATTCGTAATAATAAACCCCTCAATAATTCTTTTTGATACGAAACGAAGTAATATTTTTATTCAGAAAATGTCATAAATGGCGAAAGTTGCAAAATAAGGTTCTTAAGGATTACCTCATCAGAATGTGATTATTTTATCTGCTGTTTAAACACTTTTTTATGCTCTAATAGATACATGCGTGTACACATAATCATCTATCATTGTCGTAGTCCCTAAGTATTACAAACGGCAAGGGTATCTGTGTTTCGTCTCGCCGAAGAAAACTTTCATTCTTTTTTTACGGTTTTACAGAAAATTTCTGCCTTGTCGGCTCTCGAGCTGTTGTGTTTGGTTTTTTTTTTGCCTGCTGTTTTTTTTGTAATAACAAATTGACAATGACATGAATGAGAGGAAATATTTAACCTTAATAAACGGCTGAAGACGTTGCGCTTTAGACGTCTTTTGTTTGGTGTTTTTTTTTGTGGTCTGTTTGTGGTGGTACGACGTGGTATGCATTGTTGCAGCAGGCTGAACTGATTTATGGAAGGCCAAGTGGCAATTAAACTTTGGGTGCCCAGAGATAGTAGAGACTGTCCAGAGCTGTGGCTATAGAACGACAGTCCGAGTCCATTCACCATATTAATCTCTGGAACTCTTTTCGCTTTCAGATACCGCATTCAGGCACAGTTCGGCGGAGTCAGAGAACGAGGCCGGAACGACAATGATGTCGATGAGCAGCTCCCCACCGGCTACGCCAACGGGCGTACAGACCGACTCCGAGGGCCTTATATTGCCCAAAAAGCTGATCAATCCCTGCATTGAGAACACCGATCGCAAGGAGCTGCATCGAGAGCTGAAATTCAATGCCAGAATGTAAGTAAATCTATACGAATCGAATCCCTTTCCAACACTCTCTAATCTCTATAAATTTTTTTGCAGTGGCAAGAGTGTGCTCAACCAGAAATCGGAACTCCAGCGTGCCTACGACAAGCAGAAGGAGCGCCATGCGGCCGCCGAGCATCATTCCCCCGATGCGGAGCTGGTGGGCGGCATACCCGGCCTCAAGGGAGAGCTAGGACGGGTCATTTTGGAGCGGGCCCAGAAGCATGAGGCGGCGGCTCAGAAGCAGGATGCCGATGAGGCCGAGGATCGGCAGTATGTTAATCCCGAATATCTGAATGTACGCGCCAAACTGCGCACGGCGAATGGACCCAACTAGAGGATGCCCCTCTTGACCCCCGACTCATCATAATTAATTTGTAAAGAGAGAGATGTAACCAAATTGGAACGTAATAAGTTTAAATGTGTTGACTTTGTGAACTGTTTTCATTTTGATATTATGCAAAACTAGTTGTATCGTTTAAACCTAGACCTAAGCCATTGACTTTACTTTACTTTACTCTAGTGTTAGCTACTAATTTTAGTTATCGTTTATTGGACTAATTTCTCCCCCCCCCTTAATTTCGATGTGTGTGTATAAACCATTTGTATAAAGTTTTCGTTTCTTAAAGAAGTCTATTCTTCCAAAAAAAAAAAACAAAACAAAGCAAACAAACAAATATGTATCTAGTGTAGTTATATGTGAACGTATATGATGTATCTATATCTATATCTATATACTAGTGAGATCGAGATAGTGCTGTAAACAGGGCAAAACGTGTTAGATCGTAAGACAGAGATAGAGACCGACCCGGGAAGAATGATATTGATCTATATAGAACAAAAAACTATTTTATGTCAAAAAAAAAAAAATACAGAACAAGCAAAGAAAAATTTGATTACAGATTACAGAACTATATACAATATATATCTATATACAAATTTAGTTTCTGGAATTAATAAATTTTATTGTAGGTAAACAGTTACATAACAATTCGTTAAATTATTTTCGCATTTTTCCGGAAATTTTTATGAAAAATCCAACAGTAAAACTAACTAAAACTGAAAGAAAGATGATAAACTGATCTTTCTATATACTATTTGGTAAAATACCATCCTTTGGTCCCTTTCGACACACATATTCTGACAGCTTCCTGCAAAAATGATACAGAAATAATTTATAGCTGAATTAAAGAATGTTTAAATATTACCCTCGAACATATTTCCGGTTCCATCTTTGCTTTGCCTGTCGGTATATAGTCATCTCCGAGATGATTCCTTTTTTTCATGCTTTCCTTTCCCTTTTTAATTTTAGATATTTATATTACAAACCCAACAGTAATAACCTAAGAAATCTTTATAGCTTTGGTCCCTGCTTTGTTTAGGGTATAATCATTTCCGAGGTTTTTTTTTTTTTTTTACTTTTTCTTCGTTTCTTTGCCTTTGCCTTTGGCTTTTTCCTTCATGCTACTCTTTCTCGCTGCTTTTTCCTCCAGCTGCGGATGCGTGTGGTTTTTTTTTTAGATTAAAGTTCAAAAAGATAAAGACATATAGCTACCTTTCGAAGTTTTTCCAATTCTTCCTGCTCTTCTATGGCTATTTTTGCGCGCGTCTCTGCGATTTTCACATGAAACATTTGAACCTTCTCCTGATAAGTCTTCAGATCGTCCTTGCACTTGTTCAACTTGTTCAGCGTGAACTGAACGTCATTCTCGGCACTCTCCATGTCCTCATCGTAGGCATCCTGCATTAAATTGATGCGTTTCTTGTACTCTTCGATCAATGTCGAGTACTTTATGTAAGCAGACCTCCATACATTGGTATCCGTCTTAGTCAGCTCTTGGAGTTTGTCCAGCTCATCTTGCATCGCCTATGGATATATGATAAGGTGATTTTGTTTGAGTTTGCTCAAGATTTTTTTTTATTTATTTTATTTAGTTAGGAAAAGAGACAACAATATGAAGCTTGGCCTAGAACGTAGAACGGACCAATCTCTTACATGAGAAACGCTGAAAATTAGATCCAAAGTTGAATTATTGGATTTTTATAAGGTCAATTGAAACGGTAGTAATTTGTGGTCCCATATATATTTATATTAGTAATAATGTGAATGTGGGACTTAAATTGGTTAATTATTGCAATCTATTTTCATCGGCATGAAATGACATGCGGGTAAGCTGTCATTTGAAATAATATATATTGTGGAGTGTGGAAACAAAATACCTTATAGAGCTTAGTTCTCTTGTTCTTAATAATCGTATAATCAAAAGAAATTCCATTTCGTGTTGAACAAACCTTTTCTTTAATTGCATCTTCAGTATACTTCTGCTCCACCTTGTCGCGGGCCCAATTAATCTGGTACCGTGTCTCAATAGGATACTTGTCTATATAATAAACAATCCCAAGTATTATTGGAATCTACGTGACGATGAAACACTCACAATCAGTAAAAAGTTCCTGTTCCTTTTTTAGCGCTCGACGTTTTGAAATCGATTGCGGATCGGCGGCCTTGCCCTGCCTAATCTTGATGAGTTCCAAGACGATATTATCGTGCTCGGTATTCATGGCCTCATATGGTTTGGCCAGTACCTCCATTATATCAACTTTAATGTCTCTGTCGGGCAAAAAGCAATAAATCTATAATATATGTAGGTAAATATATATCATTTCCAGACTCACCGCAACAAAGCCATAAAGCCCTGGCACAAATCACGATTCGCTATCAAATCTTCCTTCAAAGATATTATCAGACGAATAATCTCTCCCAGATCGACAAAAAACTTGAGAGCATCCAGTTGCTTTTCGGTTTTGCCAAACACCAAGGCATCCAAATACATGGTGTCCTCATTTTTTTTAAAACGCTCGTAATATTCACGACAGGACCAACCAAAAATGGTTTTTGATGGATTGGTTCCCTTTGGTGGAACGAATCGCATGATGACAATCTTCTTAATGAACTTCTCCAGTAGATAGTTGATGGAGGAGTTGGTCAATCCTTCCAAAATCTTTTTCGAGCGGGCCTTGACCAGTGCGTTTATGTCGACGGCCGCGGTCTTCGTGGTCTCACTAATTCCCGACGGTCGTTGATATGTCGTGGGCCGTACCTTTGTGGTTCGGCGTGTACTTATCATCATATACTCGAAGTCGAGTTTCTTCGTAGCGAAAAGACCTTTTGTCGGTATCCAATCTTCTTCAGTCACATTGCTTTCGTCCTCGGGTATACTCTCATAGGGCGCCAGCAACGCCTTGAGATAGGCATCGCGACAGAGATGCGGCTCCGCCGGTGGCAGGGGAAAGAAACCCACCGGTGGAAAATCGTGTTTGAAAACGACTTGACCCTGCGAAGCCCTTGAGCTGCCATTCAATATACTGGTCATAGTGCCGTCCAGTTGGTCTCTGTCTCTATATCTGTATGGGGTTCTATGGATTCAGTTCGAGTTATCGTTTTGGGGTAATGTTTGTTACTGGAAGTATTAAGATTTCTATGTCATTTGTCATTTCCTCAGTTTCGTTGAGGAATTGTCATTTAGTTTAACATTTCATTTGACCTCACTTCCACTCTCACTCCTTGTGAAACCACATCAGAAATTTGGAAAAATTCATCAAACATTTGTAGTATCAAAAATTGTTTTCAACAAACAAATTTTTAGTAAATCGAAATTAAACAATGTCAATCCCAAGATTAGCTGGGGAGGTACTACCCCATGTGGCTGAAGAGCAGGTAAGTGGTCAGGTCACATCATCTAAGTAAAATCCTTTTTAGCCGTGAATCGACCTCAGGCACGTCCGGATAATGCCCTTATCCGCATTGAACCGCGTCAGGTCGGGGACCTACAGGCTGTCGCTGTCCCGCCCACACCACCGGCAGCTTTGATGGGACCACTCGCCGTTGACGGTTCTGCTCCTGTGCTGCTGCCCATTCTGGACTATGTGCGTGAGCTGCTGGCCCATCCCTTTCCAAGAGAACCGGAGTCTACGGACTACAGGCTGCACATCGCCTCCCACAGGCAGCGACTTCTGGAGTGCATTACTACCGTTGTGGGTATACTCCGTAATGTGATGTCGGCGATGGCACGGGATTCGCCCTTGAGTGCGGAAGAACGGAGAAACTTCCAGAAATTGCGCACACTGTACTTTTCGGCCTTCGATATAGGGAACTCTCTGCGTCGGACCATAGATGCGGCGGGACATACGGTTTATTCGTGGCCCCGGCACTATGTTGTTATGAGCCCTGGCTTAAACTCTCCCGATACGAGCTTCGGTGGTAGTTCCATGCTTTTTCCTTGGCGGAACCCTTATCTCTTCACACCCCATCTGGGTGCACATTACTTTGAGAGGGGCATGGAACAACGGGAGGCGCACATGGAAAGGGAGTTCTGGGACGAACACGATTATCTTGATGAGGCCTCAACTGGGCCACCCGACAACGTGATGGAAGACCAGAACAATGGTACTTTGGAAGAACGTGGAGATGGTGCTCCTTCTCACAACAACCGAGACATTTAACAGTTTTTTCGATCCTGTGCACATATGTACATCTATTGTAGTTTTTTCTCCAGTAAACCTCCTCCAGTTTTTGCAAAGATTCTATTGCAGCTTAGATTCCCTAACCCCAATGGCGAAAGATCAGCGAAAACAAAACACTTGCATTCCCACAATTAGCATTGCATTCGCTGTAAGAAGCAACGGTAACTGCAGTTGCTCCAGACAGAGCAGGAAAGGCACGGTGGCTTTTCGGCCGAAGCTCTGAATACCCTAGCAGATCTATCAATCTATAATCTATACAGCTCAAAATGACCTGCTTCTTGACAAAATATAAGGATCAAAGTCTCAATTCAAGATATGTATACATATGACGATAAATTTCGCTTACGATATGAGCGTTACAAACATTTGGTACAAATCGAAATACCTCCTATAGAAGGGTAAAGAAACGACAACCAACATGTAAATTACGGCCCGTGGCTGATGTCAGTCAATTTTAACATTTTTACAAAGCATCTTCAACAGAAGCGGCAGCGCTTAACGTCGTCGTCAATTAAGCAACTGTAAATTAAACAGTGGCTGACTGCACAGAAAAAGAGAGAGCAGATTAGTGAAATGGGGGTATGATCACCAGGTAATACGTTGGATGTATTCAATACTCCTCTCTACAATTAAAAGTGGTGTTTTATTTACAGAAAATCCGGAAAGTAATCAATCGAGTTTTAGCTAAGAATATTACTTAGACCCAACTGCAGAGCCTACACAATATACCCCCTTGAAGCTAAAGTAAAGGGTAGGCAACATGCATATGCACATCAACTCCCACGCTCTCACACTCTCCTACTCGCTCCCTCTCTTCATACACACACATACAGTGGTTTGAGCAGCTCTTGCTTTCCCTTTACGTTTCTCTCTCTTTGGCTGCCTTCACTGTGACGTAGGCCCCCGCCGACCTGCGTTGGGGCGTTTCTCACTCTCCCATTCTCTCTCTCTCCCTCTCTCTCTCAAGCAGGCATAGACATGCACACTTGTGTCGTTTTCACTCGCTCGGTTGGGGTCTGCTGGCCCCCGCCAGCCAGCCGTTCGCTTGCTGCGCGGCTCTGGCCGCCTGTTCCCTCGTATCGCGTAGAGGGACCTGCCTCAATGTTGCGCGTTCACTTTTAGGGAGCCTACACCGTAAAAATTAGCGCCGCTGTGGCGTTTTTTTTGTTTTTTCTGGATTTCCATCCAATCCCTCCCCCGAATTGGAGTTTGAGCACCTCCGTTTGGTGGCCTGTAGAGGCGCCGCTTCGAGTTTTGGCGCCTGCGTGGAGTGCAACGGTTTTGCAGCTTTGTCGCTTGCAGCTTAGTGGCGACTTTTGGACGACTCTGTAGCTGGGGCTATGAAGAAAGCAGAATGCGCCAGAAGGCTGGACGGATGGGAAGTTGCTTAGAAGCGCTGCCCACCCGCAAACGACCCGGGGGCCAGAACTGTGGTGGCTGTGTGGCCTTGACATTTGACTTCGACTCCTCCTTCTCCCTCCCCGACGAGTTGGATCAAGCCGTCGTGTGGCAATGCATGTATGGCATATGCCCTGCAAAAAATTGAGCATGTTTCATTCATTTACCAGAATTTTGTTTGCTTTTAATTGAGGATAAAATTATAGCTCATAGACCGAGTCACCCCAACCAGAATGCCCACGAAACGGCTGAAGATAGGGATGGCGTCTGGGTGGCCATGCACCATAATATCAGGATTTATTTTATTAAGGCTCTGCACCAGCCTGGGCAGATATTTCTTAAGGACATCAGCCGATGCTTCAAGACTGTCATTATTTTCGAATTTCATTTGGAATCATTCTGGATCTTAAATCTTTTTTTAACAACAGATTTGATCGCTTTTATTTCCCTTAGGAGGGAATGACATTGTCCGTCATTTCCCTTATTTGTGGAATGCTTTTTTCTTTTCCCAAAGTATTTCGTAGCCTCTTGCAGAAGCACTTTGCAGGGCCATTTTTTTTGCACGATTTGCATCGGAAATTACGGCCAAGAGATATTTTTTGTCATAAATGTACTTTCTACTGCTCTTAGCACCCTCACCAAGCCTCACCTCAAGCCGTCGTGTGGCAATGCCATCGCGCAGCATAGTTGCTTTGGTACCGTTAGACGGTCGCTCTCATCTTTTGCGTTTGCTCTCTCTTTGCCAGTGGGTGTCCATCTTTTGCGTACTTGCTGGGCACTCTCTCTTTGTCTTACTCTCTCTGGCGTTGGGTGTCATCCTTTGCAAATTTCTGAACGCTTGTTCGCAAAACCGCAGTCAGCGATGGCAATGCCAGCGGCAGCAGACGTAACGGTACATGCGACATCCACCACGACGTTGCCAACGCCGACGACCGTCGCTACGGCCATCTGATAGACAGCTGTCTCCCGGTTACGTCAGTCAAAATGACGCATCGTGTTTTGGTAACAGGAAAGCATAAAAATTCAGCAGACAATGCGACTGCTGCGAGTGCGGCTGGAGCGCGAAAGAAAAATCACCACAAAACAAAAGAATAAAAAGCAAACACACAGCACAAAGAAACAGCGGCGCAGAGCGTCACGACAAAAGCCACCCTCGCAACACACGATGTTGTTTGGTTTTTTTTTGTACTTTTCAAATTAGACAAAGTGCAGCACCAGCACTGTATCTGGCAAAACTCTCCAAAAGAACGCAAGACTGAGAGGAGTTAAACACTTTCCTTCCCTCTCCTCTCTTTAGCAGAAACCCCGCTCAAAATCTTGCAACAACATAAAGAGAAATTTGGCTTCGGCAAACGGCACTTGGAATACCCTTGCAGACATATTGTTACCATCCACATCCGTTAAATGTATACAATATGTATACATATGTATGTATATGTATTAAGAGCTCGAAGGTGAGTTTTGGTCTAGTTCCCTGTATCGCAACCATCTGCCTAACATAATAGTACTATATTAAAGGGTATAAAAGCAACGACTATCGCCAGTACGAAACAATTCTTGCTGCTGCTTTCACACACACCAGACAGATACGATACCGAAATAAAAAAATCCAAAGTGAGCCGGCAGCGTCCGACTCTGGGCGCCTGCTGCTTTGCGGACAAAATTTGAGCAGATCCGCTCACAAAAAAAACGGCATTATGTACAAAAAACTATAAAATAGTGCTTGTGGTGGGGCTTTGTGGTCGGTCTGTGGTGCGATTTGCGGCCGGTAGGTTCCACAACGTTCCAACGGCGTGGGCTCCACAGCTGGCATGGTCTTGGGGCCGGAACATCCCATGCCACTTCCAATTGGAAATTTGCTCTCATGCGAGCGAGCGCACACACAAATCACATGGGAAAAGTCCCCAACTGGTATTTTGAGCAGGCGCACAGCTTGCCCCAGCTGCAGGCCTCTCAAAGAGTTGGTTTTGCTCAGATAAGAAGCCAAAGCCAATGACAAAACAGAACGAGATAAGGCAGTATAGAGTGAGAGCAGAAGAGAGCGGCTATTGATGAGAGAAATGAGTAATGAGCAAAAGAAAACAAACGCAGTCCCACCGAGAAAAAGGTCACACTAATCGATCGCGGGGGGTGATAACATTGGAATGGAAGAGCTCTGTTAAATATTACTACCACAAATAAGCTATTTATGGTATTTCATCAAATCTGAAACTTCTCTCTGACATTCAATGACTTTCCAGATAGCTCCAAAAACTGTTTCATCAAAAATTATTCAGCTTATCGCTTGTCAAACTTTTTTTATTAACTGATAATTATTTAGCGATATGGGGGAATTTCTATATAAAGGCTTTGCTCCGGAGTGTCCATTCAGTCGTACGGCAGTAGTAGCCAAGTATTCTAGTTTTACCCATTTAAATCTCACGGTAAGAGTTTCATAAAAGAGAGTTCTTAAGAGAACGAGAAAGATCGCGAGAGCTTGCAATAAAAGCTTTGGTTTGTTGGCCCCCACCAAAATTTTCAGTATAATTCTGTCCCTGAGCGAGTACGGTTTTCAAGTGTAACTCTATTATTAAACATTTACTGGTGCTCTTTGGGTAAAAACCCACAGCACTAAGAGAGTTTGAAAGAGAGTTTAAGTGTGTTCTGAAATGACATTGGGAATATGAGTGGAAGTGTAATTAATATCAACAGAGACCAACCCGACCAAACTTTTCCACTACCTCATAAACAACGAGAGAAAAAATCATCAAATTGTCAAACTGTTAAATGAATGTTGTGTCGTGGACAAGCGATTAAACGGCAACACACATTGTACATATTTATCTGTTCTTTTGGAATTTCACCATAAATTTAGGGGGGCCCAGGTCTCGTGAGATAGTGAGTGCAGAAACCGCTTCAACATGGTATAACCCTTTTGACTTTGGTCTTCTTCTCTGTGATAAATGTTATCAAAGGGTTTTGTTTTGCTGTTTCTGAAGGACATTTGCAATGTCAATTAATCTTTTTTTTACCAAAAAGGTGGAAAATCAGTGGTTGGATTAACATTTAAGGCAGTATTATTTATGCTTTGGTACCAAAAAGTATCATTAACATGAATTTGCATATGTATACATGGTAATCCATACATACCGTACTTATTTCTTTAAATTATCCTTTTCGTTCTTTAGTTGCTTTTTACTCTTCTTATTATTACCAGCCTGATAGTTTTCTGTCTCTGATTTTATTTTCTTAGAGCATTTCGTGTGAAACTTGAAATTGTAATTAGTATCAATTTTAAGAACAACAAAGAAAAAGATGTTAATCCTAATTTATTAGCAACTAAACCCAAAAATAACTGAAATGTAAATTCTCTTCATTAAAAGTTTATTTTAAGGCCGGTAGAGGTAGAGGCTTCACTTCCATTCTCTCTTTTGGTCTGTCTCTTTCAAGACTCATTCATTCTTTCCCAAATGAAAACCTGTTGTTCATCTTATATGTACCCTGTAGAAGAGAAATCAACAGAACAGCTGCTGTGAAGCTTAAGATTAGAGAGAGACTAAAAAAAATCGAAAATGCTGAGCAGGTTCATTGGTGTATCAGCAACTATCTTCAGCAGCAGATCTGGCAGCATTCTGTCCAGATCTCTCTATAAGTCGGGGTGCGTATGCCTCTCGATCAG